TGCCAACGCCTCAGGCGGAGGATTAACCTGCGCCACAACACTGGCCCCAGTTTTGATGTTTTCTTAACCACTTCCATTCCAAGCCCTCAAGTTCATGGTTGCCAAGGGAAAAACAGCCTATAGTTTTGTGGTGAGGGACCCAGTTAGCCAAGTGATTTCCTTGGAAATATTCTCCAAGTTGCAGTTAGGGCAAGGATGGGAAGTACAGACAAGTTAGAGATCACAAGGGTTTTCGTGCAGGTGACATTGTTTCACTTCCCACCATGCCCTTTCTGCCAGCTTTTCCTTCTCAGCCAGCATAATGGTCTGTTGTTACAATCACTCCGCTGCAGATATCCTCCACTCTGGTTCTCCTCTCCTTCCATGGTACTCCTGGAGAATCCCCAGCTCGGTGTGAGTTTAACTCTGCACCTGCTCCTACAATTAATGACTACACAGCTCAGCTGAGCCTTCAGTGTGTTCTGGCAGTCAAGCAGCATATCCCTGGAATGTGCCATTAGAGGATCATGTTTGTCCATTTCCTCAAACTTCCGAACTCCCCCTGTGCTTGTCCCCCTCTAACAGGCGGCCTCACTGTGTATGTCAATGAGCAGTAATGAAGCAGTTGGGCATTGTCAGGAGTTTCTTCTCTGCCAGCTTCTGAGCTCAGACTCTACTTCCTTCCTGTGGTGGCAGTCTCCCAAAGTGGAGCATGCGTGCCCATCACTTTTGCTCTGGCAAGTTCTTTATATCTCCTTTACTAGGTCACTCTGATAACACGCATGATGCTCAGTACTTGCCACCTTTAAAAACATGCAGTAATCCTTCGCCCTCCATACCTGAGCAGATGCTGTCCCATTTCTTGGCTCTCTTCATAGCCAAACTTCCTGAAAACATTCAGTACATACCTGCTGTCTGTGATTTCTCAGCTTCCCCCAGCTCTCCGGCATCCTCCAAGCCTCCTGTTCTCATGTGACCGATTTTTTTTTTAAAAGTATCCTGTTCATTTCCTTGTATAACTGTCATGTCATCCTGTTTGACCTCCAGGGAAGGATTCCACATACCTGACTACGCTTTTCCTTCTGAGTCAAATTCCCTCTTGCAGCTCATGTGATGGCATGTCCTCTCCCTCTACTTTTTTCTATCTCTGAGTGATCTTATTGAGTTTTCTTTAATGGTCTCATTAATTTTTATTTATTTATATTTTATTTGAAAGGAAGAGAGGGAGGGAGGGAATGGTAGGGGGAGAGAGGGCAAGAGAGGGAGGAGAGAGGTCTTCTATCCACTGGTTCAAATACCTGAAACAACCAGGGCTGGGTCAGACTGGAGCCAGGAGTCTAGAACTCAGTGCACCTCTTCCATGTGTGTGGCAGAGACCCAAACAGCCTTCTGCCTCGCAGGGTGTGCTTTGGCAGGAGGCTGGATTGGAGGCAGAAGAGCTTGCACTCAAACCAGGCCTTCTGATTTGGGATGCAGGCCTCCCAAGCCGTGACTTAACCATTGCTCCAAACATCTGTCCTTGTAGTGGGTCTCTTCTACTCACCTGTGCTCAGAAAGTGTCTTGGGTCCTGGTTGTGAGTGTTTTTCCCCATCTTAGTTTCGTAAACTCTCAGAACCTCTCCCGTGGGCTCAAGACTTGTATCTGAATGCTTGCTGGGCTTGTGCACTGAGTGTCTCACAGGCATGCTGTGTCTGATCGTGTCCCAGAACTCTGGATCCACACCACTCCCCTGGCACCCTTTGCAGCCTGCTCCATCTGAGTAGATGTTGCAACCTCCGCTGAGTGGCTAATGTTAAACACTTAGGTGACTCTCCCTTGCCTTCCTCCCCTGAAGCATCCCCTCCATCAGTAGAGTCCTGCCAGCTCTGCCTCACAGATGTACCTCAAGTCCATAAAGTTCTGTCCTTACCATTGGAGAGACCATAATCCCCATGCAAGCCACCATTGTGTTGTGAACTATTACAAGAGCTCCCCTGCTCCTGCTCGTATTACAGTGCATCCTCGTAGAGTGGCTAGAATGATCATAGGAGCACACAACCGAGTACTTCATTGTCCTCTCTCGGCGCTGGAATAAAACCCCAGCCCCTTACCATGGCCCAGGGCCCTGCATGCCTGATGCCTGCTCACCTCCTGGCTGCGTCTCCACCACCTCCACCAGACACACACCGCTATGTCTTCATCATGGGGCCATTTGTGTTCCTCTGACAGCTCTTCCTGGCTGGCTGCATCTCATCATCCAGGTCACAGATGGCACCCTCAGCAAAGACCTTATTTTGCAGAGTTTTCCTCCCAGTCTCTGTGGGTTCACCTATGACTGTGTGCCTTGCTGCACTGGAACTTAGGCTGCATGAGGACAGGGACTGTGGCTGGCTTGTTTACATCTCTGTTCCTGTATTTACAGTAGTTACCAGTTTGTAGCAGAAGCTAGTCCAATACTCACTGACTGCCTGGTGAGAACTGCAGCATGCTTTGGTTTTTTGTCACCTTGCTTTATCCTGTCTTACCGTGATCCAGACTGCCACCAACAGCAGCATCTTCCTGATTATTAAGATACCTCAGACTCTTCCGGGACTATCAAACCAGTAAATCTGCATATAGCAATAGTAAAAACAGGCTAGGGAAATCAGTTAACTGACCTTGTGAAAAATTTCATGTGAGTGTCATGAGATTTCAGGAGTACAGCACAGCATCTGTGAGGGGGACCATCCTTATCTAGTTCTCAATTCTTAGGCCTTTATTTTATTTTATTTATTTATTTTTTATTTGAAAGAGTTACAGACAGGCAGAGACAGAGAGAAAGGTCTTCCATCCACTGGTTCACTCCCCAGATAGCCGCAACGGCCAGAGCTGCACTGATCCGAAGCCAAATGCCAAGGGCTTCTTCCTGGTCTCCCACATGGGTGCAGGGTCCCAAGGACTTGGGCCATCTTCTGCTGCTTTCCTAGGCCATAGCAAGAGCTGGATCAGAAGAGGAGCAGCCAGGACTAGAACCGGCGCCCATATGGGATGCCAGCACTTCAGGCCAGGGCTTTAACCCGCTGTGCCACAGCGCTGGCCCCACCTTTTTGTTTTGTTTACCCAGAGATGTCCAGAAGCTGTCTTGTTAAGATCTTCATCAGTCTAGTCCTAGAGGAAATACAAGGGAAGGCGTAGAGCTAAGTGTATTTCATGAATCATAATACTGGTTGCTAGCACATGGGATGGGGAATCTAAAGTTAGGACAGGAGCAACCAAGGAGATGCCTTCTGGCAGTTTCTCAGTAAGAAGGGGCTCCCCCCAAAACAGGACTGGGAAGAGGAAAGATGGGCTACCTCTTGGTTCCCTGGGGTCACCTCTGAACTAGGGTCACTTTTATCTTTTTTTTTTTAAGATTTATTTATTTTTTTACTTAAAAGAGTTACACAGAGAGGAGAAGCAGAGAGAGAGAGGACTTCAATCTGATGGTTCACTCCTCAATTGGCCGTAACAGCCAGAACTGTGCCAGTCCGAAGCCAGGAGCTAGGAGCTTCCTCCGGGCCTTCCACATGGGTGCAGGGGCCCAAGGAATTGGGCCATCTTCTAATGCTATCCCAGGCCATAGCAGAGAGCTTGATTGGAAATGGAGCAGCCAAGACCAGAACCAGTGCCATATGGGATGTCAGTGCTTCAGGCTAGGGCGTTAAACCGCTGTACCACAGCGCCAGCCCCGGGACACTTTTATCTTGATAACCAAACTTCATTCTCCTGTTACTAGGCAGGACTTGAGTTGGTGGTGCTTGAAGCAGAGAACTATGGCTGTCTCTTTAAAGTTCATAAGCTGCCCTAAATTGGAAGATAATAGTACTCAAGAGGTTTTTTTTTTCTTGATAAATATGCATGACATGAAATTTAGCATTCTGTTTGTAATTAAGTGTATATAATTCAGTAGCAATAAGTTCTGCAGCCATCACAGGACTTTTCTAGAACTTTTTCATCAGTTCTAAACTGACTTTCTGTCCATTAAACAGTAACTTCTGGTTCGCTTCTTCTTGCCCTTGGCAGCTGCTGTTGACTTTCTGTCTCTGTGATGTTGACTATTCCAGCTACCTCATATATGTGGACTCCTGTCGTATTTGTTCTTTTGTGTCTGGCTAATTTCACTTAGCATGATGTCCTCAGAGTTCATCCATGTTATAATGTGACTCAGAGTTTCATTTTTCTCTAAGGCTGAATCAGATTCCATCGTGTGTGTGTGCCACGTTCTGTTTATTCCTTCATTTATCAGTAGACGCAGGTTACTCCCATTTTTGGCTTGTTAATGCTGCTGTGAACATGAGTGTACAAATTGCTCTTCATACCTTTGCTTTCAATTCTCTTTTTAAGATTTATGTACTTGGGATTTGAGAGAGAAAGGGAGGACATTATGGTTATCTTCTTGTAATTGTACCTATGAAATACATGAAAATCTGTTCTCTATATTAATAAAAAAATTTTAAAATATATTTGAAAAGCAGAGTTAGAGAGAGAAAAAAAAAAGAGAGAGAAAGAGATCTTCCATCCACTGGTTCAGTCCCCAAATGGTCGCAGCAACCAGGGCTAGTTGAGGCTGAAGCCAGAAGCCTGGAATTCCATCGGGGTCTCCCACGTGAGTTGCAGGGGTCCAAGCACTTGGACCTTCTTTTCCTGCATTCCTAGGCACATTAGTAGGGAGATGGATAGAAAGTGGAGCAGCCAGACTTGAACCAGTACTCATATGGGGTGCCACCATCAGAAGCAACCTGTGCCACAATGCCATCACCTTACAGATCTTATGAATATATATACACCCAAAAGTAGAACTGCCAGGTTGGATGAGGAGGACCGTGAATCCATTGTACAAGTAGTAGTGGCTCCCAGTGTTTCTGAAGGTAATGTTGAAGATGGCTGTTCCAGCAAGCCCTGTGAGTCGTGGGCCAGGCAGTGGAAGAGCTCCAGCGAACACGTTGTCTCATACTCGGTGTTACAGCGACTCAGCCCAGCCTGCTCTGTGACCTGAATGTCTCCATGTCTCCTCTTCCTGCAGTGGTTTTTGATCGCCAACAGATCCTACAAAGTCAGCGCCGCCAGCTCCTTTTTCTTCAGTGGCGTGTTTGTTGGAGTTATCTCCTTTGGCCAGCTTTCGGATCGCTACGGGAGGAAGAAAGTCTATCTCACAGGTAATGCATTGGTGTGGTGAACCTAGTGAGAGGATTTCGTTCCCTCAGGTCTGGGGGAAGTCCTAAGGAGACCAGTTCCTTACAGTTCTCAGCCAGCTGCCACATGGATACAGAACTAATTTTCATTCCGTTGGTCAGAAACCAAAGGCAGCCAGCGTGGATTTTGCCATGCAGTGTTTAGTGATTAACTCACCCGGTTATAGCCAGATGTCTGTGTTGTAAACTTTTTGTAGGTGATAGTATTTTCTGTCCCCCCATATCTCAGCTGTGCCATGTTTCTAAGGGGAGCAGAAAGAAATTAAGATAGTCTGCTGCATCTGTTTCCTTCTCTCTCAGTGTTGACTCATTTCAGATGAGCTCTGTAGGACTCAGCATAGTTCTCCTGACCAGCCTAGCACGAGTGAGGATTTTTCAATTTCCAGCGTTATTGTGAATAAATGAAAACTGGGTGTGATTGGCAGAAACTGTACAACAAAGTAAACCTCAGTTTGCTTTATATAGTTTTCAGGAGAAACTGTTAGAAAAAAATAGCTGAGAAAATTCAAGTTCACAAAGGTTTATTTTACAAACTAATGAATGTAATTTATTACTTTCATCAGATGCTGTTCTGCCTCTGGATCATTGAATATTGTTCCTTTCTTTCCAGGTTTTGCTCTTGACATCTTATTTGCTATTGCAAATGGATTTTCCCCCTCATACGAGTTCTTTGCAATAACTCGCTTCCTGGTGGGCATGATGAATGGAGGGATGTCGCTGGTGGCCTTTGTCTTGCTAAATGAATGTGTGGGCACCACCTACTGGGCACTTGCAGGTACTGCTTAAATCCGTGTAGATCTGGATGTGGGGAGCTGCCCAGAAAACCTTGGAGGGAACCAGTTTAACCCCAGGATCTGAAAATGCATTTGGACTTGAGGCATTCTGTCCAACTAGAGGCTGTATATTCCTTTTCCAAAACCCCTGGATTCATGTTTCCTGTTCCAGATTTGCTCAAATTTTGGAATATTTCCATATACATAATAAAATATTTTAGGGATGAGACCCAAATGTAAATACAAGGTTCATTTTATGAAGATAATTTTTTAGAGTATCTGTTGTGCACCTGTGTGGTGACTGCAGCTGCACACATAAGATCAGCTGTGGACTTTTCTACTTGTAGTTTCAGGCTGGTGTGCAACAAGTTACAGATTGTGGTGCATTCCAGGTTTTGGACTTCTGGAACAGGGATGTTCCACCTGTGTTGGATTTGCTTTCCTGAGTTTGTTCTGTGTGACCTTAAATGAAAGTCTCCCAGGGGTCTGCCTCACAGGTGGTGAGCTTGCTGTTGACCCCATGGCCTGCCACCACTAGAATGGCGTCAGCTACCTTTTCCTTTACACTAAAGAGTGGTGCAGAGATAAGAAATACCAGTAACTCCTGTCTTGGAGCCGCCTCATTCTATTTTATGAAATCCTTGTTTTGTGGCCCCTTCTCTTTTTTTGCTAGTCAGCAGATGAGAATGTTGTATTTCTTTACTGATCCGTAATTTTCATACTGAGGCTATGTTCTGCATTATCTTTTAAGCACTCATCTTTTCAAGGACTGCATACATAGTAAAGTCAGTGATTTTTAAAGGCTATTTGACTTAAAATACTGTCATGGGATAGTGACTGTGTCCTAAGACTCCAGTTGTTTGAGTGATAGTTTTTTGTTTTTGTTTTTTTACAGGCAGAGTTAGACAGCAAGCGAGAGAGAGAGAGAGACAGAGAGAAAGATCTTCCTTCCATTGGTTCACCCCCGAAATGGCCGCTACAGCTGGTGCGCTGCAGCCGGCACGCCATGCCAATCCAAAGCCAGGAGCCAGGTGCTTCCTCCTGGTCTCCCTTGTGGGTGCAGGGCCCAAGCACTTGGACCATCCTCCACTGCACTCCCAGGCCACAGCAGAGAGCTGGACTGGAAGAGGAGCAACCGGGACAGAACCAGCACCCCAACTGGGACTAGAACCCGGGGTGCCGGCGCCACAGGCGGAGGATTAGCCTAGTGAGCTGCGGCGCCGGCCAGAGTGATAGTTTTTTGTTTGTTTTACTTTCATTCATTTGCCAGTGATTGAGTACCGTAGATGTTCTTGTGACGATGTGGGGAACGAGTTGACCATGTGACTGATGAAAGTGTACCCAGGTGAAGATGTGTAGGAGAGCGGGCCCTTGTCTTCCTTTAGAACCAGCACACTGCTAGCTGTCAGCTGCTCAGCATCTGTTGGGCGCCAAGTACCGTGCTAGGCAGCTGACGTGCATCTGATGTTTTCTGAGCTTCAAGTTAAGAATTTCTCCCTTCGTTGTTCAGGTTAGGAAACCGAGGCTCTGGGAGGTAAGGGGATGAGCTCATGACAGATTCTGCAGTCTGAGGCTGGCAAATCCCCAAACTCATGTCTTCCCTGCTGTTCCCTGAGGATGTCCTCTAGGAATGTCCGTGTGTCACCCCACGTGAGTGCTGGCCTGGTCAACCTGCAAGCCCTAACTGATGTTGTTTTTGAAGTCATGTGGATTATTGTGTTGAGCTGGAAAACAAAGGCAACATAAAGCAGCCTGTTCTGTTTTGTCCACGGAGCTGATGTGGAGTTGCGCAGTGCCTAGGGTTGGAATGGTTCCAACTAGGCTGGAGGGCAGGAGACAGCAGCCCCTCCGGCTGGACAGGCTTTCTGCTAGTCTCTCACCTCCTGCGGCAGCTTCCAAAGCCTTGTAGAACCAGTTACTTTTCCCCTCTAGCTCAGCTCCTAATCTAGCTTCTACTGAGAAAACCCTCTAAGGGTTCAGTTTGCATTCAGGCTTTAATGTCATTTTTCTAAATAATGGGGTCAGACTTTCTGAGGAAGTAGCAAGGTGATCCATACCACTGTGTCCAGGGAGGGCACCAAGGCACTCTGTCCTTTGGTTTTAGTTTTCCTGTGTGTCCAGGGAGGGCACCAAGGCACTCTGTCCTTTGGTTTTAGTTCTCCTGTGGACCCAAGTCTTGTTTACCTAGAGCATCAGCAGAGCATGGGCTTTGTGTCCCTCATACGTTTCTCTGTCACAAATTCACATTTGGCTCTAGTTGTCTCGTGAAGATGCTCTTGTACACAAGACTGTACAGAAGGGCCTTGGCTTGCGGAGGTTTGGCTCTCGGTTCTTTGAGTAAGTGACACACCTTCAAGAGAAGGGACACTCTGAATGCTGCGTCTTGATCCCTCCCGGGCTAGTGGTGTGCAGTGAGGTGCTCCGCTGCAGCAGCTGCAGCGCCCAGCCAGCTTACAAGGAACGACCGCCACAGCAGGGGAGCATGCTGCTGATGTGCAGTAGGGTAGGCATAGTCACTGCATTGCAAACTTCGTGGATTTTTCAGGACATAACCCCATCATAAGCCAAGGAGCACCAATACCACCCTCACCCTGTTTGCCTAAGGATCATTCCTGTCCAGGTGTATGTTAGACACAACGAGAGACCTCCTGGTCTCTTTCTCCTTTCCCACTCACCTAGCGCCAGGGAAAGGTTGCTATTGAAGTGCTCCCATCCTTGTCCTTAAAGCTGGGCTAGAATGAAGTGACTAAAATTTCTGTAGCAAAGGGAAAAAAAAAGGAGGGGACTGGTGCTGGGCCTGGTCGACCTCATGGTGAAGATGTCGGTGGGGTGTCTGTGTCCCACATCAGAGGACTGGGTTCAGTCCTGTCTCTGGCTCCTGACTCCTGACTCCAGCTGCCTGCTAATGCAGACCTTGGGAAGCAGTGGTGATGACTCTAGTGCTTGGATCTCTGCCACCCATGAGGGGAGACCTGGATTGGGTTTCCAGCTTCAGCCCCCAGGCTTTGCAGGTGTTGGGGGAGTGAACCAGCAGATGGGAGGTCTTGTTGTCTATCACCCTCCCTCTGTCTCTCAAATAAATCAATTAAAAAAATTTATAGTGAAATTACACATTAGATACTAATTGTAAAAGCAGTACAGTAGCTGACTCCAACAGCCAAAAGTTCTAGAGCACCAAATGGCCCCAGCATTCATTGCGGTTGGCATTGTCATATTAGCAGGACATGGGGACTTTCCTTCTAAAATGCCTTAGCATTCTGAATAGAGTGCTTTGAGGCTTAAAAAGAATTTTGTGGAAAATGGAGTTTAAAAGTAAGTGTATTTCGGTGCCAAAAATGAAATCCTTTTATAATACACATCCATGAAATTTTTGAAGGCCCTATGTACTTCTTATAATGAAAGGATTGATACTTGCTCTAAAATAATCAAGAAATATTCAGAAACTTCAGAAAGTTCATGAAAAATCCATGTTATATATATAAAAAAATGCCTGGCTTTCCATCCTTTACAACAAATAGAGTGATTTTTGAGTTCTGTTTTCCATGAACATTTTGAAGAACCCTGGCCTGTCTGGGTCAAACGTGAAGAATGCATGTGGTGTCCTGCCCTCCTACAGATGGCCACCATTAACGTGTTGCTCTGTGTCTCCTCATGCCTATTACATAGCATTCAGTTGTCCAACAGACTCTGCTCTGTACCGGACACTACTGCTTTTTAGGCACTTTGGTCAAAGGAGTGGACAGCACAGGGTGTGTGGGGAAGTCTCCATTTTCACGGAGCTTATGCTTTTTTAGGAAGAACAAATGGAAGACAATTTCAGGAAATTATATAACTACAGAGGAAAAAATTAAAGAGAGTAATCAGCTAGCTAGTCATTGCAGGGGAAGTTACGCTAAATGGAATAGTGAAGGTAATTTATCCAAGATGAGAATGATAAAGAAGACCTAAGTATGTATAATTATAGAGGAAGAACATTCCAGCCAAAATAGATGGCAGGGACCAAGGCCCTGGGGCAGGACCTGAAAGGAAGCCCCATTGGCCACACTGCAGGGAGTTGGGTTAGAGTGGAGAAGGATACCGGAGGGAAGGACCAGCTGGTAGGCCAAGTGAGGGTGACGCCAGGGGGCATGAGCAGAGGAGTGAAAGGGTCTCGTAAACAGAGAGATGACTGTGGTGGGTGTGTGAAGGATGGACAGTAGAGGAGGAGGTAGAAACGGGTCCTTTAAGCAGGTGTGGGGAACCCTTTTTCTACCCTGGGCCATTTGAATATTTATGACACTATTTTCAGGCCATACAAAATTTTCAACTTAAAAATTAGCAGTTTAGATTTGTTGACTTTTGAGCCCTGCCTACAGTTTCTTCAGCAGGGCCAGACCCAGTGATTTCATGGGCCTGACGCAGCCTGTGAGGACCAGACGCTCCCCAACCCCGACGGAGGCTATTGTTGGCTACATGAGGCCCGCCACTGGCATGTGAGCTGATCTCGGTGGGAATACGACTTCCTTCAGGATCAGATATGGGAAGAGAAAAGAGGACTTTTCTCTTTTTGAAAACTAGGTGAACTATTGGTGTCATTTGCAAAAATGGCATCATTTTCTGACCTACTAAAATTTAGCTTTCATACAAACTGAGCAGAAATAGCAGACTTGAAATTAGCTAAAAGTAAGCAGAAAATAAATATGAAAAATAAGCTTAAATGCATGTTCCAGAATTAAAATATGTAAGGATAGTAATTTGAAACGACCATTTTGTATTAATTTTTTTGAACCAAATAGCCTGGAGCTTTACACATCTGCATCTCTGTGCCTAATCCCTGTTGTCATTTCCAGGCATATATATGCTTTCTTGCTGGACATAACTGTGCATGTCAGTTGGGCCCCTCAAGTGAAACTTTTTCTTTCCACCTGAAACCCACCGCATCTTTTGGACCTCTTCCTAGAGGGATGCCATCATGGCAGTTAAGAACATTGGAACTAGATACCTGTGAATCGTTTCCTCCTGTCCATGACATCCAGTTGATACCAGTTCTTACTGATTGTGACAGGGACTCAATTCTGATGAGCTTGTATATAAGGGGACGTCACTTGGTTATCACAATCGAGCCACAAAGAGCCAGACCTCAGAGATACCTCTGCCCCCATCATCTCCAAGAGGCTTCATCTTCTCAGTCAGGGGTGGGGCTGGCAGCTCCAAGTCTGGGATTTAAAGTCCTAGATAAGAGCTCTGATTGGCTCAGCTGGGGTCAGTCTTGCAGCCTGGGGAACTGATTGGCAGCCCCCGCTAGAACCGCAGAGCAGCCATAACACAGCAGTTCTCCAGCAGAGCTGTTGTGGTGGGAGGAATTAGAAAGGAGAGTTGAAAATAATCTGTAATGGATCCTTTTGACAAGAGGCTTCCAGATAAGGGCCCAAGCCCATGTCACAGTGGACAATATAACTAGCCTCTGTGTGACATGCAGTATTTCTTCTGAACCTAGCAGCAGCTACCTTTTGAGGTGGACATCCTTATTTCTTTTTCACCAGCAGGAAACAGGACTCAGAGACATTTTGTGATATGCCCAAGGTCACATAGTGGCATGGGGCAGAGCTGGGGTCCGAGCCAGCCCATCCTCTGGGCTGTCGTCTTTTTCCCCATTGTTATCAGTGGACACTGAGGGTTGGGAGCTGGTGTGAGCAGTGACAAGAAGTCTCATTCTCGGAAGCCAGGTACAGTTTGGTACACTGGAATGAGCCCCCACTGCCCCCATTGCCTTACTTATCATACCGTGTGTTCTGAACGTGCTGAACGGCCGGCACATCAGCTCGCCTGCCTGGCTCCCCGCTTCCCTCAACACTGCAGACAGTATACTGGTCACTGTTTTTTTTGTTACTGAGTGTTAAACTTTGAACAGCAATCAAAGAAAACATTTGTTATATAGGATTATTATAGGAAAATTTTATAACAAAGTCCTGTTGCTCTGGAATGCCCACTGAAATTGCCTGTGCATGGAAGGGAGAGAGGATTGGCACCCTCCAGTCAGAGAGACCTGGGTGCACGTCCTGGCTCTGCCGTATACAGTAGTCTGTCCTTAGCTTCACTGCACTTCTGAGTGACATCCTCACTTCAGTAGCTGGTGGAGAATGAAACCTGCTTCCTCGGACAGTGCGTGTATGTTGAGCCATGATGTTCAATAAATGGTAGCTGTTTTGACAGTAGTGATAGTAGCGCTTGTAGAAAGTACATCAGCCATATAGAATTTACAAGAATATAGAGTACACCAGTTGGTTTAGTGCCCATCTCAGTGTTCAGTTCAAAACACACAGGGTTCTGTGGTTGGTACTTTTCCATCTGTAGTGCTGACTGAAATCCACACTTCATGGAGCCTGTGTTCTTCCTGAAAGAGACAAGAAACAAAGAAATGTAAAATGTCATATATCCAATGTTGGGAAATTAAATAGTGGTGAATGAGATGGAGAGCTAGGGAGTATGTTGTGATTTAAGATAAGCATTCCAAGGTTAGCCTCTGTGATAGAGATTAAGTCCCATATTATAATAGCTTCTTGGCCTGCAAACCATGCCACCCATATGGCAAAAATATTTCCCAAGCCTCATTCACAGACTCCGGCAGATGTTAGCACAATGCGGAAAGCATTTGGGCAAACCTTAAATTTATTTATCCACCTGTGGTTTCTATTTTGCATCTGTGCTTTCTTCTTTTCCACTAATTTTCTGGCCTCTTGTTGGTTTTATCATTAGATGTTCAACATTTATGTAGATTTTCCTTTTCTGCTCTGCCTTTTATGCTTGCCAATGTATGACCTGCATGTTACAAGGAGGGCATTGGTTGTGACTGGGAATTGGAAGTGGGGCAGAGATGGGTCCTCCCCGGTGACTATTGTCTTTTCCCTGAATTAGGATCTATCGGCGGCCTCTTCTTCGCAGTTGGCATCGCCCAGTACGCCCTGTTAGGATACTTCATCCGCTCCTGGAGGACCTTGGCCGTTCTGGTTAACCTGCAGGGAACAGTGGTCTTTCTCTTATCTTTGTGAGTAGTTTTTCCTCTCGAAATTTTAATTTAATAAGCTGTCCCTCTAAGGAGCTTGCTTGTACTACTTTGGTGAAGAACTGATTTGTGCAGGTGCTCCAGCTTTTAGCTCCTGGAGAGAGATGCTTAAGTAATTCAAATGCTGGTATCTCCTGTTTAAAGTGACCTCTCTGTGGACAGCCATTTAATTCACTTTGTTGATATAGGGAACTACTTTTTTTTTTTTTTTTTTTGTAACCGAATGCCTCACTATTACAGATCTTCAGGCTAGAATTAAACCAAGCCAACAGCCCTTCACATGCAAAACTAGGGTCCAATTTGCATCGTGTGAAAAGTATTTCACGATTTGTAATTTTTTTCTCTATGAAAAAAAGAAAATCTGAACTTTTCACCTTTGAATTGTGCTGAGTCAAAACCTGTCTTATAGGCATTTATGAATAATTTATAGGTAAAAAAATAAAAGATTTACCAAGGAAAAAAAGCTTCAGGCTGGCTCAGGTCACGTGTCAGGTGTATTTGCTATTGGAGAGCAATGCTCTCATATCCGATATGGAGTAACCACTGTTTGTCCAATACAGGAGGCTCATTTCAGGGCCTCTAAATGCGTACTCTGCAAGAGTCTCAGATATGGGAAAAGTCTGAGATTGCAGGGACTCATAGCTGAGCAGAAGTGGTTGCATTGTCCCTGCAGGGGTCTATCAATGACTACCTGTGGTGTCACAGCTCTATAGCACTCTGATGCTCCAAGATGAGACGCGGGGCTAAGCCCATTTCACCAGAAGTTTTACTGCAGCACGGAAAGACTTTATTCCCTGAAGTGTCGGATCTCCAGTTGTAAGCATTCAAATCTTTGGCATGCACAGATTGTCAGCCTATGGCACCAGCTTTCCTCTGTGCCGTACAGTGGGCGAGATCTGTTGGAGCGTTTTAATTCAGGCAGCTCTCTCGTTTAGAATCTCTCTGTTCAGGTTCTGAATTGAAGTTTGGTGGAGGCTGAACTGAACTTGGTTTCCATACTGTCTTTAAAAGCAAGAAAATTCTAAGAGCAGAAGTGATTAGAGTAGTAATAGTTAACATGTATTAAAGAAGCAAAACATTAGATGTGTTTAGTTACAAGAATTGGAATGAGGTAATTTGATGAGGGAGGGAAACTGACAGTGTTTTATCAGCTTGTGTGTTGTGGATTTTGGAAGTAATAAATGGGTGCCTTGCATGGTACCTTGAATCAGTAAGCACTCATGTAAGTATCAGTGGGTAAAGGAATTTTCCTCTTTAAATATTTAAGAAGCCTCATACTTCCACACCTAGCATGGCTCTCACCTCTCCTTCCAGCAGCGAGTGAGCCCTCCTGCTCTGCTCTCTCCGAATGTGCCATCCGAGTTAGCTCCTGCCAGTGCTGGGCGGTGAATGCAGGGGATGGGAAATGGAAAGCACAGGCTAGAGAGCACGTCTGACTTGAACATTACGCAAGCTGGGAACACGAGGCTTCTCACAGATAGCCCCAGTCATTACCAGCTCTCTGCCTTCCGTCCCCCACACCCCCACAGCCTCGCTTCAGGCACTCTAGGCTGCTTGTCACCAGCGTGCACCTCATGCTCTTCTGCCCGCCCTGTCTACTCAGTGCCGTGCTGCTCCTTCAACACCCTTCTCCACATCACCTCTTGTTTAATTAATACTCAGCCCTCCTGGTTTGCTCCAGTGCCATCCACCCAAGGTAGTCCTGATCATGCTGGCAGCTGTGAAGTTCTCTTTCTTTTCTGGATTCTGCAGCACAGTGTCCTGAGTGGCCTGCTGCTTCCTCCTCAGGCTGGAGCCCTGTCTGTTTCAAAACTGGGAGCTCTCAGACAGCAACACACTGTTTGCTCCACCATTGCATTTCCCCAGCACCAAGGCCCAGGTCTTCTGTGCAGTGGATCCCTCATACCCATGGGGTAGATGTTGGCACAAAAATATTTGGAATCACTTTCAGAGTTTGCCACAGCAACATAAGACAAAGTCACATTGTTTAGAGTCATACCTTTGGTCATACCTTTGGTTTACCAAAAGGTATGTTTAGAGTCATACCTTTAGTTTACCAAAAACATTTTTACTGAGCTTACAAATTGCTTGTTTTCACAGTGCTTGAATTTGAGTAGTTTTACACTTTTTAGAAAACCAGTGCCCCCTTAATTTACAAAAGTTTGCCGCTGTTAGTGATGTTCACGGAACATTTTTGAGCAGAGGCGGCTTTGTTAAATTGGCACTTTAGCTTCCAGAGATGGCTGTGGCACAGGGGACCAGCCACTCCACTACCTAGAGGACAGCATGTTCCAAGGTCTGTATTTTCACTTAAAAACATGTCTGACTATTTTGTATGTATCATCTGTGTGTGATGGAGCTCATTTTTTCTCAATCCAATAAGATGATCCGTGGCACGAGTAAGCTGATTGATCTCTCAAAATGCACGATCGAGTTATACTTGAATATCTCTCAAATACCGCTGTTAGAAATGATTTATAAAGTTTTAAATGACATTCATTGTTGCTGCTTACAAATAATTCTGAAGGCACACAGTGGCTTAAGAGGAGGGGAAATGCTGTTCTACCCAGCAGTGAGGACCGTTCCTGCTTGGTCTGTCTTCTTCATCCCAGTGCTGTTCACATCTGCTTTTTATCCTCATGTCTTTTCTACCTGTTCATGAGAGCTGTCTTCTTTTACATTCTTTTCCTCTGTACTTAATCAGGTGGTCTTACCTTGCAGTGCACATCTGGCCCTGTGGGTGGGCCACCGATCCAACTGAAGGGCAACAGACCAGGCCTCCAGCAGAACAGTGGTTTGCTAGACAATTGACTTGGATACTGGAAATAATAATCAGATAGTAATGAAGAGGTAGATTAAGGGATTCAGGATACTCCAGACAGCCTTTCCTGCTTCAGTCGACAGTCAGGTGTTGTATGTTTATATACATATATATTTTCTTTCTTGGTAGCAGAACTGCTAAGAAAATTCCTGCCCTTTTATTTCCAGTGTGTTTCCTCTCAGCACTATTACACTGCTCTGTACACAATGGGAATACTCGACAAAGGCCTGGCCTCGGTGCTGGGGAAATGCAATGGTGGAGCAAACAGCCTGTGCCGTCTGGGAGCTCCCAGTTTTAAAAGACTGGCTGCCCATTAAAGTTCCAGACCCTGAAGTGGTTGTTGCTGATTCATTATCTGTATTGAAAGGCACAGGGAACTTTAAAAAGCACCTCAAGTCACGAGCTTCACTCATCCAGGCTTTGTTTTAGGTGGACCATACCCAATTAGATAAAAACGTAAACATGGCTTCCATGTTTCTGCCATGGTTTTGTCTTTGAGTAGCCCCCTAAAATTGTATGTTAAATGGTGAGAGGAAAAGATACATAATATTGAAGTCCTAAAACCAGAATATTAGTGGCAATGGACATGTTTAATGCTGCCTTTATTAAGCAATAGCTGTTGCTTTGTAACTAGAATTTAACCAAATGATAATTGTGATCCTTCCAGAGTTCAGGACATGTTAACTTGAGTAGTATATCAGGTGATTTGAATGTTTGGAAGTAGTATATACTCACAAGTAGCTAATATGCAAGAAATTTAATTTTTTTACAGGATCTTTAAAATAAAAAAAAACTTATTTGAGAGGACAAGAGACAGAGACATCTCTCGTCTACTGGTTTATGCCCCAAATTCCCCTAACAGCCAGGGCTGGGCCATGCAGAAGCGAGGAACGCAGGACTCAGTCCAGGTCTCCCATGTGAGTGGCAGGGACACAAGTGCTTGAGCCCTCACCTCCTGCCTTGCAGCATGTGCGTTAGCAGGAAGCTGGAATTGGAAGCAGACCTGACCAAGCACTCTGAAATGGGATATGTGTCTTAACTGGTATGCTAAATATCCACCCATTTTCATTTTTACATATAGGCTCAAAATAACCCTTACGTCCTAAATAACATATCTGTATGTTAAAAAAACAATCACTTTTAAAACATTTTGTTATTTTGGTGAGGTAATACAGATTTCTGTATTCATGTAAGACTTTTTAGGAACTTGTAAACCCTCAAATCTGTACTGTATTAGTCTAACAACACTGGGCTAGGCTTTAGAGTCATATCTCTGACCCATGTTGTACGAAGACTTTGCATTTGTACTGTCAACTTGCCATTTCCATATTAAAATTTGCTTTTAAAAACAAATACATGCTGATCACATTATTTACTGCTGTTTTGAAAGCGTGTCTTTGGTTTCCACTGATAAAATAAACCATTCAACATTGGTACGGTGTTGAAAGAAGCTGTTTCTTCTCCTCCCTCCTCTCTCCTCTTATCCCCTCCTCTCTCCTCCCTTCCCCTTTCCTCCCTCCCTTCTCTTCTCCTTCCTCCCCCTCCTGCCCCACCCCATATTGCCTTGAGTCAGTGTAAACTCAACACAGAATCCAGTAGTGGGGGAGTGATTCATGTCTTGCTGTGCACGCTGCCTGTATGAATATACAGCCTTTGATGACGTCTCTTTCAGATTCATTCCTGAATCACCTCGTTGGTTATACTCCCAGGGTCGACTGAGTGAGGCTGAGGAGGCACTGTACCTCATCGCCAAGAGGAACTGCAGGCTCAAGTGCTCCTTCTCACTGACACACCCAGCCAGCAGGAGCTGCAGGGAGACTGGGAGTTTTCTGGATCTGTTCCGCTACCGGGTCCTCTTGGGACACACCCTCATCCTGATGTTCATCTGGTAATCCCCCTCAGGGGCGTTGTGTTCATCTTCAGCTCAAGTTGCTAAAGCCCTCGGGATAAGCTCTTCCTTCTTAGTTACGGAAAAGGTTCGCTCTTTTGTCCACCAGAGGTTGTTTCCCAGCAACAAGGCTCCTGTCCTGAGCACCTGGTATCCTGCCCACCCTTGCTTTCATAGCACTGCCCCGGCAAGCAGGAGATGGTCCTGTCTTCTGGTAGCTTTGCTGAGCCTTTGTCAGTTGACATCAGAAGCACATAATGCTCTTGGGGCATTCACTGTAAATGCTCAAGTCTCCCCGTCTCCCCGACAAGGAGGGGAAGCCAGCAAGCATCCAGAGACAGAAGAGTTTCTAGAAAGGACCTGGAAATCCCTGCGTTTGGCTTTGGTAAGGAGCAGTTCTGTGCTGCATCCTGTGTGGCACCCTGCTCAGCAGCTCACAGTGGTGGGCTCAGGGCTGTCCCTGGCACAATGGGCCTCCCTGGAGTTCGAGGTTGTGGGCCTGAGTCATGTGTGCAAATCGGCCAGTAACGATTATCACTCTCTGAACCTGATTTTCTAGTTGTTTATTAGTGTTTCCTTCCTGTCTCAAAATGCTCTCAGTGTTCCCAGAAGTTTCATTCAGTGATTCAAGAGGATTCTGTTTATGGGATGAAGTTGTAGGAAGGAGAAAAATGGATGGGCTCATCCAGTTTGTGAATTTCACATAATTTTTTCAAATAAAATTTTATTGGCATAGTTAACATGGTGTTAAGACTGTTTTCCCAAGTCTTTTTATTTCAGAAAAATATAAAATTCAAGGCCGGCGCCGCGGCTCAATAGGCTAATCCTCCGCCTGCGGTGCCAGCACACCGGGTTCTAGTCTTGGTCGGGGCATCAGATTCTGTCCCAGTTGCTCCTCTTCCAGGCCAGCTCTCTGCTATGGCCCGGGAGTGCAGTGGAGGATGGCCCAAGTCCTTGGGCCCTGCACCCGCATGGGAGACCAGGAGAAGCACCTGGCTCCTGGCTTTGGATCAGCGCGACACGCCGGCCGCAACGGCCATTGGAGGGTGAACCAACAGCAAAAGGAAGACCTTTCTCTTTGTCTCTCTCTCTCTCACTGTCTTGCTCTGCCTGTCAAAAAAATATAAATAAATATATATATATATAAAAATTCAATTTTTGATTTAACTCAATTTTGTATATATATGAGTTTACAGTATGATATTATGGGATACATAAAGATATATAGTGAACCTAGATTAGCATACCTGTTGTCTCACTTAATTAACTCTGTGTGTGACAAGAACAGATAGAAATCTGCTTATCAGATATTCCTAATATCTTACAAGTTTAGTAAATCTAGTTCTTAAACTATTCAGTAGATCTCTCTATTTGCTTCTTTTGAACATCTGCTACTTTGCATCTTTTGGCCTATACCTCAATCCCCATTTTCTCCCCCTTCTCATGGTAATGATAATTCTATTTCATCCTCTGTCTCTATATTTAACCTGTCTCTCTCTCTTTCTCTCTCTCTCTCTCTATATATATATACACATATATATGTATATGTATACAATATATACATAACACATATGTATATGAAATATTCACATATAAATGACATGCTATGACATTTTTCTTTCTGTGTCTGGCTTATTTCACTTAGCATAATACTCTACAGGTCCATTCATATGGTGCCAGAAGTCAAGATCCTTTTTAAGACTGAGTAATATTCCATTGCATATATGAAGGGTCTTCAGAAAGTCATGGAAAATGCATATTCTGAAAAATTACTCATGGATTTAAAAATTTTTTACACCAAGACAAACTTGCCTTACAATTCCATTTCACCACACATTTTCTGCAGAAGTCTCCATATGAAGTACACTTTTCTTTTTCCATTCTTCCACTGTTGGATGTTTAGGTTGTTTCCATATCTTGGTTACTTGTACACATGTTTTTTGTTTTTAAAGATTTATTGATTTAATTATTCAAAACGGAGAGTGACAGAGAAGAGGGAGAGACAGAAAAACATCCACTGGTTCACTTCCTAAATGACCACAACAGCTGGAACCAGGCCAGGCCCAAGCCAGGAACCTGGAACTTTATGAGTCTCCCATGTGAATGTCAGATGCCCAAGTACTTGGGCCATCATCTGCTTTCATCAGGCACATTAGCAGGGAGCTGGCTTGCAGGTGCAGCAGCCAGGACTTGAACTGGGAATGCAATATGGGGTGCCAGCATCACAGGCCCTGGCTTAGCCTGCTGGGCCACAGCTCCAGCCTTTGTGCATGTGTTTTAATATTGTCCATTGTCCTAAGGTGCCATCAGCATTACTCAGTGCGGTACTAGCAGGAGCATCATACCCTCTGGCCCAGTTGTCCTATGATTTACCTATATTTGCCATAAAGGCTGTATGGAAACATGTTTTCATGTGTGGATAAAAGGAAAATGATTTTATTGAAAGTGAACTTATGTATAAAGCTTAAAAAAGGAACCAGTAGTTTCATAACAAGAATCTGCAAAGATGTTTTTCTTTCTTTCTTTTTTTTAAAGATTTATTTATTTATTTGAAAGAGTTACACAGAGAGAGAAGGAGAGGCAGAGAGAGGAGAGAGAGGTCTTCCATCTGCTGGTTCACTCCCCAATTGGCTGCAATGGCCAGAGCTGCACTGATCTGAAGCCAGCTTCCTCTGGGTCTTCCCACACAGGTGCAGGGGCCCAAGGGCTTGGGCCATCTTCTACTGCTTTCCCAGGCCATAGCAGAGAGCTGGGTCAGAAGTGGAACAGCCAGAACTTGAGCTGGCGCCCATGTGGGATGCCGACATTGCAAGCGGCAGCTTTATCCACTATGCCACAGTGCTGGCCCCAAAGGTGTTTTTCTGTGTCATCACTCTCTTTTCCTACTCAAGCCCTGGCTGCCACCTGTGTGGCCACCAACTTCTCCTTCCCGTACAGAACCAGCGCAGGGCTGGGAATATCACTGATGCATAATGCATGTGCAATAATGGACACAAGCTTGAGGTTTGGGGATGAAGACGATCTTCGAAAGCCAGCAACATAGCATAGGAACTACCAACTTGAGATCTACCTATTTAAAAGCAGACATAAAATAAATTCAGGTACCAAGTCTCAGTGAGGCTGCATTTGCATATCACATTAGACAGTCACACTCTGCCTTGAAGAAGCTCCTGCTTGTTGGAGATGGTACTGTCTGTTTTTAAGGCTTTCATTTTTTATCAGGTGTATTGAACTCTGGGTTCTGGCCTTCAGCAGATGAAAAACATTAGACTTGGGGCCAGGAAGACTCCCTGTTTATCTTATTCAAAGCAGGTCTGCTCAAATAACTTCTTCCCGTGGGCTCCGGGTGTTAAAACACACGCCAGTAGAGACGATGGCGTTCTACCTGTTGCCTTTCCTTTTGAAGAGGCTGTGAGATTCTGCAGCCTTTCCTGTGGATCTGTCCGTGAAGAAGGCCCTGCTGGGGAGCGCAGTCACACCTCCGTGGTTAGCATCTGCTCCTGAGCTTGTTTCCCCGGTAGTGCCTTCTGCATAGTTCCTGGATGCCCTAACTGTACGGTTACATGTAACGCAAGCATTTTAATTGTGTTTGGGGCACATAAAGAGGACTGAAGTGATTTTAATAGCTGTAATTGTGGATGCCAGAAACCACCTCTGCCATGAAGGCAAGTTGTAGACCACGGCCCCAGCCTTGGGGACCATGCCCCCCCCCCCACTCCGGGCCTTGTGCTCTCTCACTGCCATCTGATGCGTGAATTCAATTCAGTCTTGTCCTGAAGTAGTTTTGTTCTTTCCCTGATTTGATAACATCACAACTTGATTTAAATAGGAGTGTGTGTTTCCATGGCTGGAATTATTTCATTGGAGTTTCTGTTTTCACTGCCACTAGATTCGCATGAGCACAGACAGCTCCTTACGAAATAGCATCATAGTATCTGTTGCAGATACAAAGGATTGTCAGACTATTTTAGAAAACCACATGGACCTAAATTTGCCTGGCCTGCTACTTACATGCAAGGGGCCTAAGGACAGAGAGAACACACTACTGACTGCACCTTGCATCCTAACGTAGGATAGCCTGGTAGCCTTGCTACAGTACTGCTTGTGCTGCTTTGTGCACGGACAGCAGCTTTACCCCAGTAAGAAGTAATGGGAAGTAGTTGCTGTTCCTGGCTCATTTGCTGGGGAAGGGTGAGCTGCTCACCAGACCAGCTCCAGGGGTCCTTCTTCCCACTTCCCCAACCTTCCCTCCCATTGCCATGGCCCATTCCTGTAGCCTGGAGAACGTGGCCTACTCCAGTGTTTTGGCAGAAGTAGGCATGAAGCTTTCTCTTTCCTGTTTGATCTTGTCCTAACTGCAGCTCATCAGACTTTTCTAAGGAAAAATAATGGTTAACAACAAGAACCTCCCTTTAATAAACACTGGTCAGACAGAATTGCAAAGGCAGAAAAACTGACCAACTTAACCAGGCCCAAGCATTTTATTAAGAATTTGTGATTCATCAAATGTATGTGTGTCCTAGAAAATCCCAGTTCCAGAGTTTTATTTTTCTTTATCCTCTTCTGTTTCATTTTGTTTTAATACTTTAGTTTGCTCAGCACAGAAGTTGCTAGTACCACCTTCACTCTGGTTGAGAAAGCCCTGATTGGGTGCTGCGAGCTGGCACTTTGATTGCCATTAGTTCTTAGGTTCTTTGCTTCTGGGCTGCAGGAGATAGGCCAAGTGTCCAGCACAGTGCCTGCCACCCATGAGGTGACCCCAGAGTGCTTGTTTCAGGAACAAAGTGCTTAAATAAAGTAACGGCTTTCCGGAGGGCTTTGCTCAGTTGGTCTTCCCCTGGAGCATCCTGCCTCTGCCGTGCCCTATCTTTCCTTCCTTGTTCTGGGTGCTCATAGCATGTGCACCTGCTGTGAGTGCAGGATGGGGTTAAGATGAGGGCTGGGAAGTGACTGGCCTGTAGGTGACCCTCTGAAGATCGGTCTCTGTTCTCAATGCCATCCTCTGTTGGCTTTCTCCACAGGAGTTCTTTTCTAGAGTCATCTCGATAATATCACAACCGCCTTAGGCAAGTGTTCCATAGGTTGTTAAATTAAACAAAGTAAGAATAGGGTCATTGTCTTCTATTAAGTGCAAAAAGCTTGAGAAACCCAAAACAATATCTTTCCTGCTGCCAAAGCTGGCCTTCATTTGCTTCATATAACATGTAGACATGAATCATTTCTAAGGCCTCATATTGTTTTTGTTTCTTCCTACTATAGAAATTCAGGTTAAGACTGAAGGGCTAGTGGGAGAGTCAGAGTTATTTAGAACAGATTGTATTGTACTGAACAGTGCTATTCAAATCTTCTCTGGTAACTCCTTATGTGCTTTTTCTGTTGTCCTTGTTTTTTTACCCCCTGGTCCCTTGGTCCCCAATTGCAGGTTTGTGTGCAGCTTGGTGTATTACGGCCTAACACTAAGTGCGGGTGATCTTGGTGGAAGTATTTATGCCAACCTGGCCCTGTCTGGCCTCATAGAGATCCCATCTTATCCTCTCTGCATCTACTTGATAAACCAAAAGTGGTGAGTATGGATGAGTATGAAATTGTGCCCAGGCACGTGGGAGCACACTGGCTGCGGAGCGTATCATGCCTGTAATTTACATAAGTATCTAAACGGTACTGTTTGTGTATACAGTATCTGCTAATCACCCTGGTGATTACAGAGTTGCTTCAAGACCAAATACAATTAGAATTCATTTTTTAGTGCAGTATTTCTTGCACTTTGTGTGTATGAGTTTTTATATAGGTTGCAAGCCAATATTGAAAGTCTTTAGCACCTGAGGATTATTGAGTTGTCTGTGTCTAATTTGTTAGTCACAAGAGATGGGGTTATAGCTCTAGAAGCACAGAATCCCATAAACTCCATGAGCAGTATTCAGGAATTCCCACCAGAAGACAAAGAATTGGATGCGTTAGACTTTCCTTATCTCCTAAGTTCCACTTTAATCTGTGAAGGGAAAGAATATATCCTGCTTTTGCTGTTCAGTGTCTGTGGACACAATTTCAGAACACATTTTGAAAGTTATTTCATACAGGCCAGCGCCATGGCTCACTAGGCTAATCCTCCGCCTGCGGCTCTGGTACACCAGGTTCTAGTCCTGGTTGGGGCACCGGATTCTGTCCTGGTTGCCCCTCTTCCAGTGCAGCTCTCTGCTGTGGCCCAGGAGTGCAGTGGAGGATGGCCCAGGTCCTTGGGCCCTGCACCTGCATGGGAGACCAGGAAAAGCACCTGGCTCCTGGCTTCGGATCAGCGCTATGCGCTGGCTGCAGCGTGCTGGCCGCAGCAGCCATTGGAGGGTGAACCAACGGTAAAGGAAGACCTTTCTCTCTGTCTCTCTCTCTCACTGTCCACTCTGCCTGTCAAAAAAAAAGTTACTTCATACGGCATCCTTTCCTTAAATATTTTTACATCATTTACTGAAGATCCCGTCCTGTGTGAGCTGGGAATCAGCTGGACTGTGTCATTTCTCATTCTCCAGAAATTATCATCGTAACTAAAACCAGGCTTCCTTTAGTATCATGCTCAGTGCTGTAGTCATGCTTTTAACGTAGAGCATTTTGAAGGGTGGGTTTGAATTCTGATAAATGCAGGGGTTTTCGCCCAGGAAATCATCCCATTGCTTCTGCTGACTCCTCTCTTGCTGGCTTCCTCTTGCTCTCATCATGGTCTGAGAGCTGGATTAGACATCATAGTTTGAAGTCTTTCCCCAGCTTTCCTTGTATTGTGCTAGCACCATGCCTTTGTGCTGTTGTAGCTTCCTGTGGATGCCTCTGACCACCTCTAACCTTGGGGGTGGACCTGTGCATCTTTGCATCCCCCCTGTGGAACATGGCTCTTGGAAGGTATTTGATACTGACAGATTAAAAATAATGACTTGAAAGAGATTTAGACCTTTTCTATCTCCCACCAGCTGCCACTAGCTATGAGACAGACACACCTCAATTCAGGTCCTGTCTTAGCCATGTGTTAGTTTTATGATTTTGACAAGTTCCTCTGTAAGCTTCCACTCATCCTTATCTTCCAACTAGGGCTTAGAAATTCCCCTGGAAAAATTGTCACCCAAATGTCAGTGAAGATGGAAGCCCCAGCAGAGCACCTTGTGTGCTGCAGACCTAAGAAGGGCGATTTGTTAATGCTGACTTCTTCCTTCCAAGTCTAGAGCTCTTCCCTTGAAAATGACTTCTCTCGAAGTGTGCTATATGTGCCTTGCACTTGATTCTAATTGGCAAGAAGTGTTTTCTGTTTATGTTTTCAAGAGAGAGAGAGAAAAGAAAATTGTATAGTGTTTAAAACTCTTAACTGTGTAAGATTGAGGTAACCAGAAAATGAAATGAGCCAGAAGTTGAGGAATATAACAGTACATGCCCACAGGCTTATTATTATGATGAAATAAAATGATTTGTAGAAAACACTTAAAACAGGGCCAGGAACATAGTAAACATTCATGGAAATAGGACTACTCTGCCTCCTGTTCGTACACATCACGTGAGCTTGCCGTCCAGCCAGTTTGCCTTTGTTTTATGCTGGTGTTGCCAGACTCCTGATGAGGCACATTTGCTACCCACTCCTTTAGAAAAGATCAGCGCATTTAATGAAACTGAGGGTGTTTAAATATAAGTTGGGAGTGGGGAGTAGATGGATTTAGAAGATTCTTAAGAGATGTCTGGTATTTTTTTCTATTATTTAGGTTTGGTCGGAAGAGGACGTTAGCAGCATTTCTGTGTCTGGCAGGATTGGCTTGTCTTATTGTGATGTTTCTTCCAGAAAAGAAAGGTATGCCTTTCAAATTTCTACTAGGGTTTTGAACAGCACTTTTATTATAATGAAGCTCAGTATAGTGGAGAGATTACCATATGCCATGCTTCATTTCTGTGATTGCATATTATTTAGCAATTGTGTGGGCTATAATGGGCCAGATTCTTTCCATTGCCTAAACTATTCTCTGGGTGAATAATGTGCTTAGAGGTGCACTATTAATTCTTTCAGCCTATTAAGCTACCATCTGGGGTGGCTGGGATGCAGGACTGGTGATGTTAGAGTTGTTGATTTGATAACGAGGAGGACCTGTTGGTTCTGTGCATAGAGAAACTCCATCCAAGGCTGCAGATTGCACTCCTCATCCCAGCCAATTGAAGGATTGGAAATCGGAGCCACTGGTTCTCAAAGGTGGCCTGGCACCTCCCAGTACCTCCATCAGAACTCTCAAGGCACCCCAGTAAAAACAACAGCGACCAAGAGAGATAGTCGCTGTTGGTAACAGTGGTTATTCTCTCAGTCTTACAGAAAAGGTGAATGAAACATCTTAAACATCGTTGGTATTTTTAAATGAGGATATTTCAAACAGTTTGTGGAAAATGGAATTAAAAGATAAGTTTATTTTGGTGCAAAAATTTTTTGGAAATCCCATGCATACTTGTTTCATAGTATGCATTTTATACACATGGATTTCAATTTTTTGCACCAGAATAATCTTGTAATTCCCACTTTGCCATGAGCTTTTAGAAGTACCCTTAAATATTTGTAGCATTGCTGTGTAAACACAGCTTCCAGGAAGGTCCCTTTGGCAGCCTCATCTAACCTGATGACTGTCCCTATATAAAAATTCTGTAGATACTGCTGATTTTTAACCTTTTTTTTTTTTTTTGCATGCCAGCTGTCACATTAGCAACTATGATTTTGGTACTGATTTTTCATTTTGGGGGTGTTTGGGTCTTCTTAGGGCTCTACCATGGGTCTTACTGTCCAGATGGGAATCATTGAGGTGATTCTTCAGAAAGTTCTGGTGACTACTGAAAATGCATGAAGAATTCCGTTCCCATCAGAGAATGTCGTGTTTTAAATGCTACTTTGGTAAATTGCTTCTCCTTGAGGCTTGGTTGTTCCAGTATCCTGTTGGAGACCCGGCTGCATGTTCTCCTTGTTTGGATGCCCTCGGGGTACCTGCTCTGCTGCTGGGTGCTGCCTGCAGTTTGTGCTTTGAGTCCAGAGTCCAGATTGTTCACTGGTTAGAGTGTAGCCAGTATCTAGAGCAGCCTGACAGTGATTTCCGTGGAATCACAGAGGCTGGAGAACTGAGCCACTTTGCCCATTTCTTGTTCTGTTAGCACACTAGTGTCTATGCTAGTGCCAGGGGAAGGAGAAAGTCCTCAGCTGTTGCCTAGCCAGGGGGTTCTGGAGCAAGGGATGCAGTTGTGTGTCTGGGACAAGAGGATGGTATAGCTTGATATTCAGCCCAGGTGGTTTTGCATATGCACCTTGGGAATCCAGTGGTTTCCAGCAGCAGCAATCCAGTGCCGTCTGTCACCTCAAAGGGAAAAACTTTGTTGTTACTCGCAACACACCTGTTACTTGTCACACCTCCCCACTCAGGCCAATTAACATCTTTCTTCCTTTCCACTCTTGCACCCCAGGACTCTGCTCACGGCCCTTTCTTGAAATTATCTCTTATTATAAATAAAAAAAATGCAGTGCGGATGTCTGATCACCATCTAGACAGCACCTCTCTGCTTGGTTCCAGGCTGTGCTAAGAGAGCAGCTTGAACTCTTTGTTGATTGTGCCCCTTGCTGGGCGCTGTGAGAAGCAGCAGAGCAGAGCATCTCACACACCACAGATGTGCAGTGGGAATATGATGCCTCCATTACATGTAGATAAAGTGGGCGTCTCGTCTGTTTCTAAAGATTTCCAGGGAGAGAAGTGCCATGATGTCCCTTCGTAAATGATTTCTGCTTTAATAGCCATTACTGTCAGAGTGATCCTCGGCCGCTGCAGTTGAGCCCATTTCCCCTCATTTGAGTCATTACTGAACATGGAGAACAGATGGTCACACACATCCCTTTTTTTTATTTTTATTTTTTTGCATAATCCTTTCCATACTTATAGAGAGGCTTCTAGCTTGTCCTGAATTTTCTCCTCTTTCAGCTAAAAAAATTTTCTTCTTTGCACTATCTTTAAATAATTTATAGTACCTTTAAAATATTTTGATGGCTTTCCTTTAAATCTGTTTTTTCAAAACTTTGCTCTGTGTGTTATGAAAATTCTAATAATGCATATTAAGAAAAAGACCTAGCAGGTCAACAAATTCTGTTAATGGCTTGGAGGCCACTCATTTTCTCATTGTTTTTTGTCCTTGTTTGTTTTCAGTTTTTCTCACTAAACACACTTTAATTCTCTCCTTTCTGCTAACTCACTTTTATTTGTTTATTCTGCCTACCATTTTTATTCATTTTTTAAATTTGAAGGGCAGAGAGACAGAGATCTTCCATTTACTGGTTCAGTCTTCAAATGCCTGCAATGTCTGGGGTGTGGCCAGGCTGAAGCCAGGAGCCAGGAACTCCATCCAGGTCTCCCACATGAGTAGAAGGGACTCAAGTACTTGAGTCATCGTTTGTTGCCCCCCCAAGTGCCTTAGCAGGAAGCTGGATCAGTGGTGGAAGTGGGACTCCATCCCAGGCATCCTGATACAGGATGTGGGATTCCAAGCAGCAGCTTAAGTAGCTCTGTCATAATGCTTGTTCCCCAACTTATTTTAGCATCTCTATGATTTAGGTTCTCTGTGACTGGAGGCATTGTGACTTCTGTGACAATGTAGCTCTAAGAGAAACAGTCAGCAAGCTAGAAAATAAATTGTTTGGCATCCGTCAACATTCCTAATCCAAAAATCTGAGTTTCAAAATGCCCCAAATCCAAAACCCTTTTTGGCACTGACATGATATCAGAAGTGGAAAGGGCCATATCAGCCCTCATGTATGGTCACAGTAAAAATGCAGCTGTACCGAATATACTGTATTAAAATGACCTCCATGGAGCAGGCCTTCAGCCTTGCGCATCACATGCCTGCATTCCTCATCAGAGTGCCCAGGTTCAGTTCCTGGCTTTGACTCCAGATTCCAGCTTCCTGCTGATGCAGACCCTTGGAGGCAATGGTGATGACTCAAGCAGTTGGGCCCTTGGGAGACCTGGATTGTATTCCTATATACCCTCTTTAGCCACAGTACAGCTACAGCCATTGTGAGCATTTGGGGACTGAACAAGCAGGTGGTAGCTTGCTTGCTCTCTCTCTTTCTCTCTCTCTCTGCTTCTCAAGTAAATAGAAAACAATAATTTTAAAAATCACCTTCAGGCCATGTATATAAGGTATATATAAAACATAAGTGAATGTTTAGACTTAGGTCACTTCCCCAAGATAGCTCATCATATATATACAAATATTCCATAACTGGAAAAGTTTATCTGGTTCCAAGTATCTTGGAAAAGAGATACTCAAATTGTATTAGACGAGTGTCCCACATAGTACCTACTTGTGGGCATCCACGTTGGTGTTCTCTGGGAATGATGTTAGCAGGTGGCCACTAATCTTTCCTCCACAGACGAGTTGTCAGACATTTTACATGATCTCTGTCCTTGCTTAAAGGATTGTAATTAAGCTTCCAGTACTAATCTCCATTTACTAAGTGTCCACTGCATTGGATTCACTTCATGTGCAGAAAGTATTACACATTCTCTTTTTATAAGGAAACTAGCAACCAGATTAGCCAAGCAATTTGTCCAAGGTCACACAGCAAGTAAGTAGCACGTGTGGGATTCAGGCTTCCCCTTTCCCCTCTTAGAGTTTTAGAACCACTGTATTACCTGCAAATGGTAAAACTAGTCTTAGTGAATTGACACTGCCTGATTTGGGCCAGTTTTTTTGTTTTTTAAGATTTATTTATTTATTTGAAAGAGTTACACAGAGAGAGAAGGAGAGGCAGAGAGAGAGGTCTTCCATCTCCCCAATTGGTCACAATGGCGAGAGCTGCACTGATCTGAAGCCAGGAGCTTCTTCCGGGTCTCCCATGTGGTTTCAGGGGCCCAAGGACTCAGGCCATCTTCTACTGCTTTTCCAGGCCATAGCAGAGAACTGGATCAGAAGTGGTACAGCCAGGACTCAAACCTGTGCCCATATGGGATGCCTACACTGTGGGCGGCTTTACCTGCTATGCCACAGCATCGACCCCTCAGGCCAATTCTTTTATTTTTTTATTTAGTAAATATAAATTTCCAAAGTACAGTTTATGGATTACAATGCCCCCCCCCATAATTTCCCTCCCACTCACACCCCTCCCATCTCCCGCTCCCTCTCCCATTCCATTCACATCAAGATTCATTTTCAATTATCTTTATATACAGAAAATCGATTTAGTATATATTAAGTAAAGATTTCATCAGTTTGCACCCACACAGAAACACAAAGTGTAAAATACTGTTTGAGTACTAGTTATAGCATTACTTCACCTTGGACAACACATTAAGGACAGATCCCACATGAGAAGTAAGTACACAGTGACTCCTGTTGTTGACTTAACAATTTGACACTCTTGTTTATGGCGTCAGTAATCTCCCTAGGCTCTAGTCATGAGTTGCCAAGGCTATGGAAGCCTTTTGAGTTCACTGACTTCGATCTCATTCCGACAGGGTCATAGTCAAAGTGGAAGTTCTCTCCTCCCTTCAGAGAAAGGTACCTCCTTCTTTGATGGCCCCGTTCTTTCCACTGGGATCTCACTCGCAGAGATCTTTCATTTAGGTTTTTTTTTTTTTTTTTTTTTTTCCCAGAGTATCTTGGCTTTCCATGCCTAAAATACTCTCAGGGGCTCTTCAGCCAGATCCGACTGCCTTAAGGGCTGATTCTGAGGCCAGAGTGCTGTTTAGGACATCTGCCATTCTCTGAGTCTGCTGTGTATCCCGCTTCCCATGATGGATCCTTTTCTCCCTTTTTGATTCTATCAGTTAGTATTAG